AAATACAATATGTTTCATAGATGTTAGAAGGTGTAATCTACATACTATGAATATTGAATATTTTGTGACCTATTTTTCTTCTTGTCTGCGTATGTTTCAGTACATGCATACAGCAATATTCATATATTATTTATGCGTACTTTTTCTGCGTGACACACACTGTCTTCTTTGGTTCGTTGCATTTCTTTTCATAAAGAGATACAAGAATAATTAATAAAACTCTTCATCTGGTGTGAGAGTCATTTGTAAATTGAAGGAAATTGCGAGTTTGTCAGAAAAAAATTGATATGAATGCATGAGATCCTTTTTAACGAGAAAAAACCTATTATCATAAGAGTAGGATTGTTTTTAACACTTGCGACTATTAAAAAATCAACAATGCGAATGAGTCTGAATTGTTTTTCAACAAATAAAAAACAAAAAAAGAGTTAGTATCTATGGCATAATGATCAACAGCAACCATATACTAAAAATACGTTAATTTCAATTATTCATTCATATAATTATTAAGATAGGATATAAACTCGCTCGGAAATTAATGTCTTTTAAATAACTTTCTTTTCTATAAATAGAAACAAAAGAAACTCGAGTAACTTGTTTGTTTCGTTACGATACAAATTTGTTTTCAGAATACATTATTATTATTAAGTAGATTAGAGAAATATGTTGAGAAAAAAAAAAGATTAAATAAAATATTCTAAGCCGATAAAAGTCATAAGGAGTTACTAAGAAAAAAAATTTTAGTTTGAACAATTTCATTTTAAATATTTTTTTGTCATAAGATGATTTGAAAGCATTCATTTATAAATATAATGGCGTAAAAATTTTCTTTTTAAATTTTTTGCTCGTTTCTTAGTTCAAACAAACCTTTTTTACAGATTTTTCTTAAATTCTTAAGATTTCCGATGATTGTTTCGAATGCAAAGTCATTTCTTTTTTTTCTGACATATATCTATTAATTTTTTTTATAGCGCATATAGAGAAGATATAAGACGAGGAGCATTATGCTTCGTCTAATCAATAGGAGAGTATGCAGGTCACCTCTTACAAGGAAACAATTTATTTCGATGTTTAGTAATTAAAAAAATGTCATTTATGCTGTTCTCTATTGCATAAATTTCTATAAAACTGTTTTATTTTCTTTTTTCAATTGACTTAGATTGTTTTCTGTGATGAAAGAGAGATAACGAAATTGAAATGTTGGTGAAATGTATCGTAGTTTAATAGAATCTAGATTTTCTATATATATTCTCAACTCAGTAGAATTCTCAGGTGAAGACATACGAACCGTTTCTGATCAGAGAACTTGGGAAAATTGTAAGAACTTGGCAGTAGGAATTTAATGATCGAATCCTGTGATCGGCTTTGTTCACTTACGACCAAAACAAGAAAAATTCAGCTACTGAATTTATCCTTTCAAATTGCTACCATTTACTTGAGTTTTCCGACGAGAAACAGTGTCTTTCGAGCGAAAAATGCCGGAAATTTACGGAAGCGGATGCCGAAATCATTAACGTAGATAAAAGTGACCCTTTATTCACCTTTACGTCCTTTTCTATTGATGAGAAGATTCATTTTAATAAAGAAACATCTCAAAGAGTTATCACAAGAAGCTTTAATAATCTAAGAATAATGAGCTACATAGATTTTTCTTTCTCGAAAATTTCCCGAACCAAAAGCTGACACTCTTATTCAAAAACAATTTTAATAACATTAGCAGTTCTGTAATCATACAAACTCTTTATTAGTATGAAACTGTTTTTATACAAGTAGTATTTTTGATTTTGCATATCTTTCTAAGTCGAAGTATACAATCCCTATACGATACGGTAATCCTTAACAATTGAACTGGGTCCTATTGAATAAAATAATTTCGATCATTGGATAAGACGTTTAGTGTATTTTCTTTTATTTCAGCTATTTTATACATTTCTTTTTCTTTTCTCTTATGGCATCCATCGAAACACTTGTTTGGATTACCGAACAAGTTAGTATATGTGGATATTTAATATTATTAAGCAGTGGAATTATTGGTTCATGTGCTAATATATATATATTTTCTCGAAAACGTCTTCGACGAAATTCATGTTTTCATTATATTTTTATTGCAAGTATATTTGATTTTTTAAATATATCATTTTCAGTATCAACTCGTCTAATGGTTGATGGATTTAAATTTGATCCATTTGCGGCAAGTTCTATTGGATGTCGAATTCGAACATATATGTAAGTTTTTAATAGATTAATAGAAATATTTTGTTTATTTTTTTATATTAGAGCGTTTGTTGTATCGTTTTGTCCAATGGGTTGTCGTTGTTTAGCTATTATTGATCGATATTTATGTACATCACGTTCATTTTTATTACGAAATTTAAGTTCAGTAAAAGTAGCTGATCGTCTTTTATTTATTAATTGTTCATTATGGTTTTTAATTGGTATTCCAATGTTAGTAGTTTTTGATTCTATTCATGTAAATTCTAATCAAGTTACATGTAATACATTGAATAAAGAATTTACTAATTATTTTTCATTTTTTGTCAATCCTGTACTTTATTTTTTCATGCCAGTTATCATTATAATTATATTTTCTACATTAACATATAGAAATATACGCATTGTCAATAGAAGATTTAATGTTAAAATGAAACAATTAGCATATGTAAGTTTTTCTTTTTTCATCAGAATATAATAATAGTATTCTTAATTCTTACAGATGATTATTATTGAAACTATTATATTTGTTATTTCTTCGATACCACATGGAACTCGATTTATATATATATTATTAACAAATTCAATCAATAAAAATGATTATAGAAAAGCACAAGAAAATTTATTTTATCAAATAAGTCGAATAACATTTTTCGTTAATTCAGCTTTTTCATTTTATATTTATTTTTTATTGTCAAGTGAAGTTCGTTCAATTATTAAACATGTTTTTATAAAAAAACAACATCGAATAGTTCCAATTGCTCTTAATATGCGGCATCCAATCAACTCATAACAAATCACAAAAAACAATTATTATACAATCATAAATCATGAACTTAAACTAATTTGTAGATTCATGTGGTCTTAAATAAATTAAAAAGAAAATTATTCGAACGTTGAAAACTTGCATTATACATTCAAAAACGATTCGTATATACATTTGATAAAATCGATCCATAGAAACAAGCTATATTAATAGACTAAAAACGCGTATATAACGCTAGAGCCTTTCATTATAAGTCATGTAGCACCTGATTCAAAATTGAATTTTACGAGAAAAAAAATTAAGTATTGCCGTCATGCTTTGACTAAATGTGCCAATTTTTTCATTACTAATAAAAGTGTGATCATAGTTCATATTCACTGAATACCGTTAAAAACAAACTCTTTTGAAGTATTATCGTTGATCTAAATATCATTCAGGAGTTTTGAAAAAAACAATCTATTCTAGTGGTTAAAATCTATGGCACAGCTAATTTTTTCGAGCAGTTTTTCATACCATAGCCGTTTAGTTTCATATTCACAGCAACAAAAAATCATCTTTTGTTACACACTGTGCCCTGAAAGTTCTAGTCCTAAAGGATGAGAGTCCGTTGAAAAAACTGTTAATGTATCCTTGTGCGCTTATGCATCACATGAGGGACCAGCCCAACTGTAATCCGTTGTTTGACATCATATTAAGTCCTAGAGGAAATCTCGGTGAGACTTAAAAAAAGCTTATTGACAAATCCAATAAGTGGATTTTGACTTGAAGGTTCACCCATGGATTGGTTTCATGATTGTTAGGATATTTTGAAAGGTGTGGGTGTACATGCGGTAGTGTGGGAAAGAAGTCTCTATATCCAAGCTCACCCAGACTAACACTCACACCCTCATCCACACCCACACCCTCACACACACCCATCCACACCCTCACACCCACACCCTTATATTTTTTCCAATTTCGTTCCACATAAAAAAAGATAAACATCACTTTCGTATAAAATATATATAATCAAGGAAGAAAAAAACATTAGTTTTTTAATTTCCATTAACGAATAAATGAAGAAAAATCAAAAAATCATCAAAGCATCAATCTACAGCGAACATGAACGTTCTATGTTGTTGGTGATAGTAGGCGATTCTTGTTCATTACCCTGAATTGTCTTTATCTTATAATCATGATGCTTTCCATTAAGCGTTTGATTATAAGTCGTCAAATGCCAATCATCAACGGGTAATGCTTGCAGTTGGTGCATCGTTTGCCATGAGATAGTAAACCAAGCCAAGCCCAACATAAAACAAATACCTACCTCAATGAAATAGGCCTGTTCTTTGGGAAACCAATTGGCAGTATAGAGCACGAGACTGGCCGGTACAGCTTGACCCGCATTGCTTATAGATGCGAGTAATGTGTAATATGTACCACCGATACGTTCATCACTGATTTGAGCACAGAACCCACCACGTGCTGCGCCCTGTGCATAGACAAAAGCATAATCGAGACCAAAAAGAAGAAAGAGAAGAAAATAGAAAACGGCTGGATACAAATATAGACGATAACCAAAGAAAACAAAAATGGCGATGAATGCACATAAAACGAGTCGAGGAATATAAGACCAAGCAAAGAAGATCAATGGGCGAGAAGTTTGCATGAGAAGAAGAGGTACGCTAATTTTCACTATCATAAGAGGCATCATAACCAGACCCAATGTGTCTCGTGTGATCAAGCCGCGGCTAAAAACAAAAATAAACAAAAGCATATAGGCAGATTTATTCGGTTATTTATTTGTTTTTGCACAAGTATGCAAGACATGCCAATATGAATGTTCTTCTGTAATTGGGCAGAAAACTTACTCTATTGAATCAATATGTGATGAAATTTCATGAATTTACTGCAAGATCATGTGACGTAAGTGATTTTGTGAACAAGAATTTAGATTTTATCGCACTAACCTGATTAATGTGAGATACGTCATAGAAGAAGTGGCCATATAGCCTACATGAGAACCGATAAGAATAAAGCTAAGATGACGAAAGCACTTCTTCTTGAACAACCTGACAATAGACAAATAGGTGCCAAGTAAACTCAAGCGATCTTCACTTTGATCATGATCCTTTGCATTGACACTTTGTCGTTCTCGAAAGAATAACAAAATAGCAAAAGCCACAAGTAGAGAAGCCACACCCCAAAATCGTACGAAATAAGCCAGACTGAAAAGGCCATACGGCTGAGTTGCAATGCCCAGTGGCTGGCGAAGCAATCGATTGGTCATATTGGCCGATTCGAATGTAAGAAGAATTGACGAGCCAAGAAAGCTACCAAATGGCTGCCCTATCATTTGTAAGACTGACTGCCAAATGATATTCGGACCAGCAAACAGAGTCAATGCCCATCCATCGACGCAAATGTCTTGTGTAGCTGTGAGAAATATGATGCAAAAGATGAGGATGGTCAGTTCAATAATACGCAGTTGAACTAGCAACAAGTCAATATGAAAAGAAAGAATTATCAGCATCAAGCCAATTAGAATTTGAACTGGTAGTAACCAGGTTTGTCGTCGACCCAACCGACGAATATAGAAGGCATCGATCATAGGGGCCCATAGTAGTTTCAAACTGAATGGATACATGGCGAAAGATAATGTGCCTTGTTGCTTCCATGTGGCACCGAAGGAAACTAAATAGACTGGTACAGAATAGACTAAGCCCAATGTGACACCTTGCAGTAGATAAAGCACAAGTACGATCAACATACACAATATGAACGGCGGTCGCGATCGAACCTATGTACGAAAAATAAATCTCGTTTATGATTGTTTTTCAGTTGAAATTTATTGTATGACTCGATTGAGCTGCTCATTTTGACATTTTAGAATCAATCAAGAGCTTAGTGTTTTTGTTTTTGAGTTTTGAAAAGTCTTTCAAATATAACTTCGTCAATCGAATTCGGAACTTTTTCGGGCTAAGCTATAAAGTACAACTGCGAGAAAAAATTGGTTTTCTGATGAAAAGTTCTCTGAAGGTTGGTAACAGAAGCGTTAAAGGTCCAAAAATGTCCACTTTACTTAGAGTCTGCTAAGAATATGTGTGACTCGACATATCTAATTATTTAACATGGTAAAATACGTTTAAAGCCCTCTAAGTAAAAAATACCATTGAGAAATACAAATATGAGATATACTATCAGTGCACGACATAAATTTGATGTTCTTTTGGTTGGCTACTAAAATCCTTCTGTTCACTAGCAGTCATCCAGTAGAGTAGATATTTCCAGAATCTTTGACAGTTCTCGTTGAGTGTCGATTAATGTGTTCACGAATGTGAAAACAAAGAGTCATACCGGTTTATCCGTTGGTGCCATCATCAATCGTGATGTTGTTGCGATAGAAGTAGACTAAGATAACTTTACTATAACGATGAATACATGTGTTTGCGCAGTTTGTAAGATGATTTAAATACTATTCCTATCTATTGTTCTCTCATTCTCTACGTAGAGAAATCCAACACCTCATTCATAGCACCATGTCTTTATTCTCTTCACGCATTGCATTTGATAGCATCATAGAGACGCGCAATACAAAGAAATATTCATCGCAAACAAATAACACCGATTGTAAAGAGAGAAGTCGTTATCTAGCCATGAAAACACTTAAATGCCATTGTCAGCATATTCAATGTAAACTTAATGAGTTCGTGAAAGTCTTCATTATGGAACAGTTTGCGTCACACAACGCATGAGGCTTAATTAAAAATGCTTCTTGAATGTTTTGTTAACATTCGATAAGGCACCATCTTTGTTCGTTAAATCCTTAAATTTAAATTGATTTTTATATTGGCAGTCAATAAATAATCGAGCTGTATTCATGCTCTATTTTCAAAATATTCAATTTGATTCCGTTAGGTTAGATATTCTGCAAAAAAGTGCTGAAGGCCACATAATGAATTTCAACGGTGTAGGTGTGGATAATTGCATACGCATTCATTCTATAGCACACATTCTCACATCCTCAAGAACATGGTTTTTTGTTCCCTTTCAATAGTACAATCTTCCGTCTGCAGCATTGTAAAGTAAGCAACGAGAAGAATGCATAATCTCTGCATTTTACTCCATTGAAGATGCAGTGATTGGGTGGCTTCTTTGTTTGAATGGACGTTTTTCTTTTTTCGATGATTTCTCTCCATTCTATCGTGAGCAGTTATGCCAACAGTAGAAAAAAGCAACATCAATGAGCAACAAATCTTGTTGTTTGGCCAGAATAAAATGTGAGTGAGTTTTGGATGGTCTATTTTCTTTCTATCGCAAGCAAAACATGTATGGATGAAAGCTTGCTGTCTTCTGTACGATATAGTGTTTTGAAAATAAAAACATAATTTTTTCATGAGCCATTAGAAGTCATTTGAAATGGCTTCAGCTTTCTTTTCTCTTCTCATACTCTTTAGAGTTGCATTAACTCAATGTTGTTCGTAAAAATAGTCACCAAAAGTAATAGGTAAAATGATGGATTTAGAAGTTCTTGTCCAATATTTTACTTTACAATGAATGGTCGAAACTTGTTTTTATTTGGTTGGATATTTTTGACATTATTGTTTTTTTTTGTATTCTATTATACATTGACGTCCAGATAAGATTTTTTTTTTTTGTGAAAAGTTGATACTATTCTGTAGATCTTTTCTGCTAGGAACACCATGTTTCTTACTCACATTCATTTCAAAGAAAGACATGCTATTTCAGCAGACCTACAATTGTTTAAAACTTTCAACCGATCGTTTGAGTCAAAATCGAGTTATTCATAGATCTAAAGTATTCAATAGTAGTCACAATTGCAGAAATAATTGTATATCAGATTAGTGTTTCGAATTTAAGCATTATAGCAAAAATAATCAAATAGAGACTACTAGTTTTAAATTAGCAATGTACGTCAGTTTCTTTATGACAAAACGCTAAAATAATCAACGAGAATTCAAAGGTATATTTTGTACTACAAAGAGTAGAATAGGTCTTTTTGCATTCAACAAAGGAAGTTCTCAATGGCTTTCAACATATGTAGCTTTTTTGTTTTGTAAACGATCAATTTACATGTCAATATATATCTAGATTATTAGTATTGACGAAGAAAAGTGATCACGAGCAAAAGTATTACTTGCAATCAAAACATCGTCACCTTACTATGTTCCATTTCCCAGCTCCTTCAGACAGGATACTACCGGAAAATATTGAATGCAAATCCCCGTATTTGGACCGCATAAACTACAGGATTCTTGATTGTATTAAAGGGTCTCTTGCTGGTCTAGTAGTAGGCGATGTTCAAGAGGCCGGTAATGAACGTATCGACGATCCAATCCATGGTGGAAAATCTGGAAGAAAATCCAATCTTCAAATGGATCAGTGGACTGGTAATACATCGATGGCACTGTGCCTTGCTTCTTCCTTGATTACTCAACGTGCTTTTAATCCGTATGATCAGCTAGTTCGCTATAAATGGTGGTATAAATATGGATACTTGTCACCAACAGGACACTGTCTCGATATTGACAATGTTATGCGTAATTCACTGGAAGAGTTTTGTCGTCGTCAAACTGATTTAAATAGATATTATGGTTATCTTACGGAAGATAAATTAGATAGATTATCGACCGATGCAATTTATCGATCAGTGGGATTTGATGTAAACTGTAGCCGACAAGGTGTCAGTGGGAATGCAGCACTTGCACGTCTTGCTCCCATACCACTCCTCTATTATCGAACTCCGGCAGTAGCTGTTGAACTTTCAGGATTATCGGCACGTCTTACTCATGGTGATGATAGAATAATAGACGTTTGTAGATATTTTGGAGCATTGATTACGGCTGCTATTCGCGGCGAATCCAAAGAAGCATTACTCAGTCATCGATTTTATGACGATCATCGAGATTGGTTTGATTGGAAAGATCTTCATCCAAATGTACGCACTGTAGCGCTAGGATCGTATAAACAAAGAATTGATTCTAAAAATAACATTCGTCCTGCGAGTGATATTATTCAGACACTAGAAGCAGTCTTGTGGGCTTTCTGGACTGATGGTAATTCTTTTCAAAAAGGCGTACTTGATGCCATCAGTCTCAATCATGATATGAAAAGCATAGCACCTATCTACGGTCAACTTGCAGGCGCCTATTATGGCTATAGCCAAATTCCTATACAATGGGTTCAACACATGCACGCACAGAAATTGATAACTTGTACTGCTGAATGGTTATATTTTCTGTCGGATCGTACGATGTTTGGACTTGAAAAACAGAATGAAATCCAAAAGTACATGTATACGTCATCGAGGTCGCAATCATCGAACCTGGTCGAGGCCGTAAGACAAAAACATCATCAGCCAAAAATGCTCACCAATACAGTGGAAAACAAACAAGATTCCGGCTTTGTCACTTTGCCAAAGCTGATGAATAGCGCCGTCCGTACCCACAAAAACTTTCATCAAAAGAAACTCACGGCCGGTCATGTTTCTCCATGGGATTGGTTTCGATCAACAAATAGTTGAAAATAAGCCTGGGCTATGTTGCGATAGGACGCTTTCTCATATCAACTCGAACAATGTTCGCCATTAGTAGTTTTTTTAATTGAAAGAGACGTCTTTCTGTCTCTCTCTTTCGTTGAGATAGCTATTCTGAACAATCTGCTTCTCTTTTGCAACAAATAATGAACAGCTTTTCACGTAATTCTTACAGAACTAATATATAAAATATGATTGATTCGTTGTATTTTATTAATTTGAACCCTCCCTACTTTGATCATAATCGTCGCGAGAGACGAAGGAACCAATCTATCAAAATGTTTGGTACAGTTCAAAACAGCTTTTCTCTTCTACCGACTAAGCATTTTTTCTTGAGAATCCTGCTCAAAATACATCCAATAGCTATGACAATTGAAAGCGCACAAATGGATAGGTTTGGTCAATGAATGGGCAAGTGGCTAAATGAGGAGACGTTTTCGCCGTTGCTAGTTTAATTTTCACACTATCAACTATCCTAATACAGACAAACTTAGCCATTGCATATCCCTCTTCTGAAAATGCTAATACGTATTGAGTCCATGGACTATGCAGTGTCACTAATGTTTTACAACAGAACGAAGAAAAAGATGCTCATCATAGGATTGGAACCATACACATTCTGCTATTCGTGTAGATGCCCTAGGCCAATTAGATTAGAAGGAGCATCTTAATCTTTGTTTAGCGCCAGAGTGTATCATCATCGACGCTAACACCTTGTAGGCTGTTTTAAACAACATTCTAGTCACAGATCTGTTGACTTTAGGCATTTCATTCAGATTTCTAATATCTTTTTTGTGAACATTATGCTTTCTACGTGGAGTTATCTTCGCTCATCTACTTACATGTCACTAATGATTCCATTAATGTTTAAACATGTATGGAAGTTTTTAGGAAAAGGATTAGTTTTTTAAAGATACGTCTCACAATACATAAGTACCTAATTATTTTACCAATCATTTTGTATAATTCCATTATTGAGACTTCAATGTATTATTATTAACTAAATATTGTAAAACACGACTTTGAAGGTTTTTACTTAGTTTCTGTTATATTCATCTGCCCCTTATCTATATGAGTGAGCCTGTGTGCATACTTTTTCTCTCACTTCTCAAGGTCTCTTCTTTTTAATGTTGCTTTTGATAAGTCATTTTCAAGTATAAAATAATCAACACGCCGTAGTTTGTATCTCATCATATTACATACTTTATTCAACAAAATAGAGATATTCACTAGAAAGTCAAACAATAATTGTCGATGAAATTAGTCTAACTGTCATCAAAATTGAGGTAAAAGAAGTTTATCATAGCAGTTGCATGAAAAAAAATGGAAATTACTTCGAATTGTTGCAAACAACTATGAGCATTTTGGATTTTTATGTTCGATAACAAACTCAATCGATAGCAATGTTTAAGCAGCATGCCCGAAAAATAATCGTAATTCTCATTTTATTCATAGCCGTTATTATCTTTATTGTCAGCTCGTTCAAAAAATATCCCTCACACACAAATCAACTGATAATTATGGAATCCAATGATTCTTCCTCTGTTCATATTTTCCCTCATATTGCTGTACTTGTCGAATTTCGTTCTATGGATCGAATGATCAGTATCGTACATAATGTAAATTATCATATTCCATCGACATGGCCTATTCAGATCTTCCACGGTGAAGTGAACCGAAATTTCATTATCAATTCTACACTAGCTCCATTAATTGCTTCCGGTAAAATAATTTTGACTTTAATGCAAACGTATACGAAAGATCGAACAAGCGAATTATTGACAGATCCCCAATTCTGGAAACATGTTCGTGGTGAAAAAGTATTGTTCTTTCAAATCGATTCAATCATGTGTTCTAACTCACCCCACAAAATCACCGACTATCTATCCTATGACTATATCGGTGCACCATGGGATCCATCATGGTTTAAGATTAGTAAGACAAATCTTGTTGGCAACGGTGGCTTCTCACTGCGTAGTCGTAGCAAGATACTTGCCCTACTTGCACTTGTTTCATACCACCGAAAGGTGCCTGAAGATGTTTGGTATGCATTGAATTTACATCGTGTCAATGCAAATATAGCTTCAGTAGCTGTAGCAAAAACATTTGCTGTTGAAACGGTTTATTATGAACGACCCATGGGCGTGCATCTATCAATACTGTCGTGTCATATACGTGCGAACTTGACTCAAATGTGCCCAGAAGCGTTAATGATCATGCCGCCTCGGTGTTAGTATTAAGTAAAATATAAATGTAAAATCTTTTATGCATGTTTGAATCATCACACGTAATAGAGCGAACGAAAATCTACATATGCCTTATAGAGAAAAGCTTTAGATGCTCTAGCATCACTATGTTCACTGTTAATACATTGGTTATAAATTGGTAAGTGGATTCTAGTATCTACAACACTTGATGAAATTGTGAGGTCCTATAGAGGGTGTGGGTGTGTGTCATCGTTTCATTACTAACACCCACACCCTTGTGTAGCAGCCACAATCTACTTATGCGTTATTCTTTGCTGAAGACCGCATCAACATTCAAAATCATCAAGTCATTATATTGAAAATTCTTAACTCACAAAACTAGGTCGTACTGGAAATATTCAGTATAACTGCTTCGTCATCGTAGATGATCGTTCACTATTAAAGATTTTACTTTATTTAGGTAGTAATCATTTGCATAAACTGAATTGCATTGTAGCTAGACTTCATTTGAAGGATTCACTACTATTCAACACCAATCTGATGTGATATCATGATAGTTTTTTGTCGAAAAAAACAAATTACTTTCTCTTTTGAGATATAATAGAAATTCAAGCCTTTAGTGATTTTTGAGAAATGTTTCAAATACTTGTCGACAAACATGTCCATGACATGTTTTCACTTATGAACTCTGTGTATTACAATAATAATAAAAAAGTTAAAAAATTTTAGAGGATATTTCAGAATAAAAATATCTTCGGTTCTACTATTAGACATCATCGAAGATTGCCTACTAAAAAAATAAGAGTCAAAAGATAAATGTGAAAACCGATTGAAACCAGTTGTTGTGTTTTCGATGAACGAGATGTTAACGTGTGACAACCAGATTGATTGGTTACATTAGAATCTCGATTACTCATCTGGCGTTCGTAAGAAGTGGCCATGATTTCGACAAGATTACCAAATGGATCGAGACAGTAGACCGCCTGATAGATCTCTCCAGAAAATACTGTTAGAACAGGACTAAGCTGTTTGCCACCGGTCGCTACAATTCTACGAACCAAATTTTCAGGTTCAGGATCTGTCACACAAATGTGAAAAACACCGGCACGAGAATATTCAAAACTACTTGTATTCGGACGTTGTGTGGGTGGATCAATAAATTGAAAAAGTTCAAAGCCGACCCCATTTCCTGCCGTCATATGAGCCATTTTGACGCGTTTCATTTCGGGGGGAAACATTTGTGACAGAAGAATTCCCATATCGGTTGAATTGTCAACAATAATGTCAACTGGAGCAACTAAAACCGTGAAGCCAAGCACTTCACGATACCATGTCAATGCAGCATTAATGTCAGTTACAGAGATACCAATATGATTCATGGGACGTGCATAAGTAGTAATCTGTTCAGTTGCTGCAATAGAAACATGACAAAAATTAATTTGATGAAACCTGACTGATTTTAGCAATGTTATTTATATTCATTAATTCGACTTGTATCATTGCACTAAAGTACTTAGTCTCACTAGAAATTTTATAGTCATCTTGCATATATGTTCTTTATCTATTTGAGTAACAGATAAAAATGAAAAAACACATTTCATTATCAATCATACAGTTGACAAAGAATTAAGGAGCACTTTAAGTAAGCTCATGTATTCATCTCTGTCTTGAA